ATGTTGCTGATATTTGATAATGTTGGCTAAAATAATATTATGTTTGAAAATTATATATGATGTATGTGAGCCTCCCATCTATAAATGAAATAAATATGTATTAATATGAAAATTATTTTTTTAAAACAACCCATTTTCTTAAGTTGTATCAAAAATGACTTTGATTTTTCAATTTTATGGAGAAATTATTTTTCAGTTGGCGCCAGACGCTCATATTTGTGATGTAAGGCTAGAAAATCTATACCATATATTTTATAACATTTAAACAATAGCCAAACAAGCTGTTAATTTATTTTTTTAGAAATAACGTGATTATTTTTATTTCTATAAAAAAAATACATTATTTAACTAATTTAAAAACTCTAAATATTTTTTGTATTTCTACATCAATTTATAATATTGGTTCGACTTTTTCACCACACACCTTGCGGTTATCTGATTTTTAAAAGCAACTTAACATTTTAAAACAATATAATGCAGTAAATTAAGTTAACTAAACTATGTTTATAAAGCTGCTAAGTATAAGAAAAGTATATCAAGGTGAATAATATTTCTGTATTTAATTATCATCTAAATTCTAAAAAAAATATTATTTGTCTTAATGCATCAAAACAGTGGATATATATATATGAAGCACCTTTAAGTAATATTGTTTTGATTAGTTTATGATCTAATTATTTAGATATACTCTAGTTTGCAATATTATTTATTTATTATATTTTTGTGCGTTCAGATGCATTCAAATACTTTATGATGTACATGTATCTCAGAATACATAAAGTCAATTTTTTTCTAAATACATTGTAGTCAAGTAGATTCACATGTATCTGGTAACTCAGATACATGTGAATCGTGCCACATACATATAGATACATATATCTAGTGTGATTCACATGTTTCTGGAATACATGATCTCGCTAGCTAGCTTCTCTCCCTATTTTAGTTTTTTGGTAGAACAAATACATATATCTAAGTGTATCTTCCTCAATATATGATCGAAAACTCTCCACACACAATATTCTGAAAGAAATTGTAATAATAGTAAATTAAATATGATAGTGAAATGTATGTAATCATGTAGTGTTTCCAATATTATTTATATGGTACTCTAAAATTGGCAATGCCACCCTCAAACGAAACACGTAACGTATGATTCAAATTTAATCTGAATACAAAATAATAAATAAAAAATAAAAAATTATAGATTGAAAAGAAAGGAAAATAACCAATAACTTGGCAACATTGAATTCATCATAATATCTTAATTACATATAGCAACCATTAGAAATACATTCATAACATATGTAACGTGTTTTTCAAACACAATATTATTTATTGAATTATTTCATACGCTAGCTAGAACTAGCCAATATTATTAATTTTCATCACACATGCACAAACACAGACATGTTTGTATATATAGAGTAATTGGACACCAATTTTTTTTTATATTTTGAGAAAGTGACCTTCGATATCTTTAGTCAATTCAACTAAATAACCCAAGAAAGCAAGAGGGTCTGGGGTGGCTACGTTTTTCTTCTCATAAGCTAACGTCCATGTAGTCCACTGAGGTTCAAAAGATGAAATAATAGTAAACGAGTCGTACAACTCTAACAGATCTCCTTCAATTACTTTCCACTTAATTGACTTCTTTTTATGATCGACCGCTTCAATAACTTCCTTAACAATATTCATTTTTCCATCTATAATCATTCGAATAAGAAAATAGAAGAGATGTTAGCTCTTAATTTACCTATCCAATTCATCATTAATAAAAAAAAATAAAGCATTAGGAAAATAATTGTACCTTCATCATGTCTACTTTGGTTTTCCTAATTTTCTCCAAAAAATTAATTAATGTTCATTTTTTATCACCAAATATTTAATAATATGTAAATAAGAGAGTGAAGAAAGGTGTGTTACCGGTGTAATATTTCCAGCTTACTATCGAACCAACTTTTATGATTCCACTTTGATGAATTTCAAAACGATTAACCTCTAGGGCTAATGTTGGGTACATGATGGGTGTTAGAGTGGAAAAGATCATGAATCAAATGTCCTCCGCATTTCACCTCTACCGAAGCAGTCAATTTGCTTTTCACACCCATGTTCTTGTTCTTCTTCTATATAACTAAATGTGGTGAGAAAACGCTTGGAAGTTGTCTTTATATAGGTTTTAATTGTGTGAAAAATTTAGTTGAGATCGTTTGATAGGATATACAAGAATAGTGCTGAATATAATGTGTTGGTTATGTTTGCATTGGTTATGCTGACATTATTTCTTATGTGGTGTTAGTTTGTTTTGGTATATCAAAATATGTGTTCAATCATTCTATTTTTTTCTGAGAGATGTCGTGGTCTCCAAGAATCTTCTTCCGACCTCTGAGGTGGTCTGTCAAGTCCTCTAGCCTAGGGTAGTCAAAATAAAGGCAGGATTCTCTCGTCTTTTATTTCCCTTTTTTTCTGAGAGAGATGTCGTCCTTCTAGTTTTTGATGAATTGAGTCCGCCATCTATTTCATAGTAATCACGAAAAGCAAGCCCTATGTGTCACAAGCAGGCACCACGGGTTTTTTACTTTTTGGTGGGGTGGAGAGCTTTTGTGCATTATAGCACAGGCCGTGACTACCCTTTTACCTTGATTGATGCTGCATATCGACCGCTTGTTCTACAGAAAACTAAGTGCCTAGCAATTAGTCCCAAGAAATATGGTGGAAAAGTACGTAAAAGGTTTTAAAGGACATTTGTGTCTTTAATCATGCTAATGCATGCTTTAAAACTCGTTGCATAACCAATATCATAAATTTCTATGTATAAATTATACACACCTTAATATTAAATAGAGTGTATAACTAAATGCAAGCAGTATTTATACATAGATTGAAAAAGTGTACCCAAGAAATACTTATAATGCACAAAAATGACATTTACTATAATTACACCAATAATACAAAATATAATTTATAGCAAAACACACTTTTAAAATAATAACAATCAAAATTAACGCTTAGGGCATACATTATTATATTAGGGACTTATGACCTATGAAACTTCAAAATATTTTTGATATACCCCGCCCTAAGACTCGGTCGAAATTCAAAGTTCCATGAGCATTGATTTTAATTTCTATTTTTCTTTCATTTAGGAATATGTTCTTCTCTAGGGGAGCCTTCTTATCACGAAGCATATTTTTCAAGCTGATGAAATTTGAAATTTTATATGGCTGAAAATTTGACAAAACAAGTGTTAGGCATATTTATTATGTCAAAATTGCATGTTGCATTTATAAAATTCTATTCTGATGTCCTAAAATTGGATAGAAATTCTAAATATTCTTCGAAAAAACAAAAGTTTTCGTTGAGTGAATTGTATAAGGCTATTTTGTCTAGTAGATTTTATATATATAGTAAATTGCTCATCTGTTTTTTTGAATATAGGTTTTTTGACTGGACCACATTAAATGTTTATCTTCTTTTGATATATTTCTCATTTTTCTTCTTACTTATAATCTTTCGAGATTGATTCTAACTAGCTCTCGCATAATATCTAATTATCTCGATCTTAACGAA